GTTCCCTCTTGTAGAGGAAACAGTTCTTAATTTCTCCCAAACAAGAGAATGTTTCTTCCAAACATTCCATTGGCTGCCACAATATGCAGAAAAAAATCACCAAAAAGCTTTTTTAGGAGGCAAGTTTACTGTCCAAGTATAGTGTTATGGGATGATTAATTCAGTCCTCGCTTTTTTGTGTTCCCTAGCTCTCTTGCCAAAGACATGGGCTTTTGATGATTTGAATTTCTACTGCTTTCCCCCTGCCACTACCACAGTGTAATGGCGTAGTGGTACCTCTCTTTATTTGCATACTTCCGTTGTCCCATTTCTCACTTAAATTCCAATTCCCAGAAGAACAAAAGTCCTCCTTAGGAAGACTGTAAGGTTTGTTTTGAAGTATCGTAGAGGTGTTTGTGGGTATTTGAGATGGTGGCTTTTTACTCAGGTCGCATTACCACACAATCACTCCAACAGGACTACTGAAGGAGATGCAGAGATGTGTTACATAATAAGACTGGCTGAGAACTGACTTCTCAAGACATGTCCAGACTCTGGGATAATACAGTCTGCTGAAGGGTCTGCATATATTGCCATTTTCTTGAGCATGCTGGTGCAACTAAACCTGGTGGAAATAAAGGAATTCAGATTTTGTTATTGATCAGCTGAGCTCTTGGTCTGGGCTCTGTTACTTTAAGATCTTAATCTCTGTGAAAAACTGCCCCTTCCCATAGAATAATAAAAAGCCAGTTACGTAGTTGCTACTTAGGGTCATTTTCAACATGAAAACTTCTGTTAGCAGAATGCAAAGATTTTATTTTTTTCACTAATAGAATCACAGAATCACAGTGAGGTTGGAAGGGACCTCTGGGAAGTCATCTGGTCCAACCTCCCTGATCAGGCAAGGCCACCTAGAACTGGTTGCCCAGGACCACATCCAGATGGCTTTTGCATGCCTCTGAGGATGGAGATTCTTGGGGCAACCTCTTCCAGTGTTTGGTCACACTCAGAGTGAAAAAAGTATTTCCTGATGTTCAGAGGGAACCTCCTGTGTCATCAGCAGACTTGCTGGGGGAACTCTCTGCCCCTTCATCCTGGTCATTAATGAAGATACTAAACAGGATCAAACACAGTGTTGACCCCTGGAGTACACCACTAGGTCCGGGCCTCCAACTACACGTTGTGACACTGATCACCACCCTTTGGGCCCAGCCATGCCAGTTTCCAGTCCACCTGTCTGCTTGACCAGCCCACACGTGACTGGCTTGTCTATGAGGATCTTAGGGAGACCATGTTAAAGGCTGCCTTGAAGTTCAGATAAACTATACCCACAGGTCTCTTATCATTTACCAGGCCAGTCATTTCATTGTAGAAGTTTATCAGATAGGTCAGGCATGACTCCGCCATGGTGAATCCATGCTGACTGCTCCTTATGATTTTGTTCTCCTTAATGTGCCTGGATTAGGTGTTCCATCACCTCTCTGGGGACTGATCTAATGATGATGAATCTGTAGTTCCTTGGGTATTCTTTCCTGACCTTGAAGTTGAGGGTGACATTTACTTTTCCCTAGTCTTCAGGCATTTTTTCCAGGTGCCATGGTTGATCAGAGGTTATTGAGAGTGGCTTTGCAATTATATCAGCCAGTTCCCTCAGCACTCATGGGTGCATCCCACCAGGCCCATGGCCCTAGGTATGTTCAGTTTGCAGAAATACTCCCTGACCCGGTCCTCTTCTACCTAGAGTAACATCTTCCTTACTTCAGCCTTTCTCCCTGGTTTCTGGTGCCTGGAATTCCTGAACACTGCTCTTGCTAGTAAAGCCCAAGTCAAAGAAGGGATTCAGTGCCTTAGCCTTTTCAATGTCCTGTGTAGCCAGGTCCCCTGTCTCATTGAGCAGTGGGCCCACATCTTCCCTAGTCTGTCTTTTGTTGACAATGTCAGAAAGCTTACAGAAGCTTTTCATCTTTTCTTTGACATCCCTGGCCAGATTCAATTACATTTGGGCTTTTAACTTTGCTAACTTCATCTCTGGATGTTCAGAGAGTGTCTGTATATTCCTTCCCTGGTTAACCTGTCCTTGCGTCTACCCTCTGTATGCTTCCTCTTTGAGTTTGGACAGGAGTTCCTTATTAATCCACACAGGCCTCCTGTCATTTTTGCCTGCTTCATATTCATTGGGATGAACAGCTCTTAAGCTTGAAGGGAGTGATCCTTCAATATTAACCAGCTTTCTTGGGCCCCTCTTCCTTCCGGGGCCTTATCCTATGCGACTCTCCCAAGCAGATCTTTGAAGAGGCCAGAGTCTGGTCTCCTGAAGTCCAGGGTTGTCAGTTTGCTTTTCATCATTATAGAATCGCTGTGGTTGGGAAGGACCTGCAGTCTATCTCCCTCTCACACTCCCTTACTGGCCTCAGTCATTCAGCCTCTCCCTCTCGCTCAGGCCCCAGGCCGAGCGGATCCCTCCCCTGCTCACCCCGAACACAGGTGCTGTCTGTGTCAGACTCTACTGGCAGAGCCGGGCTACGGCACTCTCTGCAGCCGGAGCCCTGGACACCCGCCCGCCTCCGCGGGACCCTGCCTGGGTTCTTCCTCGCAGAGGGCTTTGGCCGGGTCGCAGCCATGGCTGGCCCTGCCCCTGAGGCCTAGAGCTCGGTCTGCAGATCTTCTACACGCCCCTCGCTCAGCCGTGAGCCCTGCGCTCTCTAGGGCAGCGCCTGGAGGCGGGGCGGTCGCTGCGGCTCTGGCGAGTAGCGCCCTTTCCGGGCGGGGCTTATCCGCCGCTTCTCCCGGCTCCGGGAGACCCCTCAGCATCGCTGAGATGTGCCGCTCCCTGCCCTCAGGATCCTGAACTCCACCATCTCATAGCCACCGCATCTGAGGCTGCCTTTGTGTTGCACAACTTCAGTGAGCACCTCCAGAATACTAAAAATTGTAGTTGAAAGAAGACTTTTTAGTGAGAACCAGTTTCTCTTCATGTTTAAGCATAAAGAATTTTATGCATCTTAAGGAAAGTCTTTTACTATATCTACACAAATGCATATCTTGACAATTTTACTAAAATGCTGTTCACATATGTGTAGAATGCGTGTGCACAGCACCTTTTTTTCTTTTAAATGATGTCTGAAGAAAAAATTTGCAGACTACTAAAATTTTATTTTCTTCAACGTCTACTTCAGAATAAAATGTTAAGAGTGTATTTTAGAATATGCTATGAATTTATGCTAGCTTTTGCTACAAGGAGTTTGTGTTGTCTGTTCTTGTTTGACATGAACACTGAAACATGCCAGTTTCAATGTTCATGTCTCAAATTGAACATCAGCTTTACCAAACTGTAACTGGAGTAATCTTCCTGGGATCATCTGTTACCATAACTTATTTTATGTTTTATTATTATTTGGACAAGAGGAAATGGCCTCAAGGTGCACCAGGGGAGGGTTAGTTTGGATATTAGGAAAAACTTCACTGAAAGAGTTTTCAAGCACTGGAACAGGGTGCCAAGTGAAGTGTTGAAATCACCATCCCTGGAGGTATTTAAAAGACATGTAAATGAGGTGTTTAGGGACATGGTTTAGTGGTGGGCTTGGCAGCCTTAGGTTAATGGTTGGACTGGATGATCTTAAAGGTCTTTTCCAACGAAACCAATTCTGTGGTTCTGTTGTGGGATGCAAGATGGGGGAAATGAAGTAATCATTTGACATAATTACTTCATCATTACAGTAATTATCTTGAAGCATTTTTTTATAGATGTTTTAGAGACATATCTTACATTACTTAATGGGATAACTACAGTTTTGGTCATCGTATCTTGTAGGGATGCTTCCTTCGGTACTTGCAGTTTTCATCTGACATTGCTGGACTGTTTTCATGCAATAAACAAGGTCAGTAAAACAGTATTTTTCATACTGCCAAAGTTCAGCTAAATACTGCCCAGCAGAAGGCGGTGGCTTAGGAAGCTAGGATCCAGTTAGAGCTATGCAGTAGCAGATTCTCTGATTGTTGCTTCACTTACATATTCACTTACATTGTGACAAAACTTCTAGGTACAGCATCCACAGAAGTTGGCCCATAGCTTATGTAATCAATTAATGAAGACTTTTAAAAGGGTATTCTGAGTTTTGTTTATATAATCTTTCAGGACAGTAATTTACACCTCTAATCCCTGAGAGTTGTGTGGTAGGCTTATTATATTCCCCCCTGGTGTTACATTTTTGGCTGAATATAGCCTTTGAGAGTGATTTTGAATTGGTTAGTGGTACTTCTTAGGCATTTGCAGCATGTGCTAATGATTTCAAGTTTTGCTTTAGGAATACAAATAGGACAAATATTAGGAGGCTGGTGCTTTTTTTCTTAACTACAAATTATTATAATGTAGTATTTTACAGAAATACCATGGTAAAGTACCATGGTAGTGAAAGACCAGGGAATTTATATGCATTCTTCTTAGTCTCCATGAGCAGTGAAATGAGGAGTTCTGCTGCACTCCACCCTACTACTGCCTTTTGTACTATGTGTGTTTTTGCCAAATACTGATGTTTTAACTGATTAAGCCAGCTTCTTGCAGATTTGTGATTTTCAGCTATTTTGGATGTTTTGACATGGCCTGCTTTTATGCCAAGAGTGATAAATTGCTGTTCTTAGTACCAGTGAACAGAAGGAAAACTGCAGAAGATTATGCAGTGAAAAAGGAGGCTAGAATATAGCATTTTAAATATCTGGAGATAGGAGTTTATCTGTTTGTGCTTCCTGACTTAACAAGTGTGTAAACTGCCAGTTACCCAAATGTTTAAGTTTTTTATACAGTATCGGATACAGTGGTTGTGGATAATTACAGAACATCAAGGGACCAAACTAATGTCTGCTTAGGACTGTGTCTGCAAACAATTAAAAATTGTTGAATATACCAGCTTCATAATGAAAACAAATAGCATTCATGCACAAAAATATTTGCAAACTTTCAGTGCAGACCTTAGATTGCGTACTTATAATTTCAATATATAATTTTGCCAGCTATTTTTCTCTTTTTTATTCTGCACACCTAGCAGTGACAAAAAGACTAAATGCTTCTGTAGTCTGGAATTTTGTAGTTATCTGATAAAAACAGAGAAGAGTGGATTTGCTTGTCCAAGTTGGCTTACACTAAAATTCATAAATCTGTTTTGAACCATTACTGAGTTGATCTGTATTTTTTTAAAATGCATGAAGAAATCTCTTTGAAAGAGTACAACAGGTATTAAGGGGTTTTCAGTAACCTACAAGAGTCATAAACTGTTCTCATTGAAAAGGTGCCGTCTTTTGTTAAAAGCTGTATTCTGAATTTTAGGCTTTGCAATATGGTTTCCTGGATTTCAATACGTTTGATGTAAATGAATATGAGCATTATGAAGTAAGTGTTCAGTATCAGTCTTCTGATTTGTTTGCTACTATGAATGCCAAGGTGATTGTTTATAACACGTGCTATTTTTTGTAGTATTACGTTCCATTCCTGTTTTGTCTCTTTAATAAAACTTTGTTTTATAAAATTGTGTGGTCAGAGAGAAAATTAGAATTCAGATTTAAGCGTAGTCAGACTCAAACATAACGGGAGAAGCAGAAATTAAAATGGAAACAAATACTTTTTTCCATTATTGTTATTAAAGCCCTGGGAGACTATTATCAGGAAGTGGGAATTTGGCCACCTTTTAGAGGTCATGCATATTATTGAGCAGTCTTGATGAGTAATTTGGGGGCATACAAGTCCAGGTCTAACTGAATTATGGAGAGCAATTGCAGTGTGTATCTTTGAACACACGGCAAAGATATAATAACACTCTTTGAGGTAAAGAAAGAAACAGGGCTGGAAAATTCCAAGCCTATAAAATTGAGGGCATGGGAAACAAGTGTGACAGTGAAGGGCTGCAACTTCTGACTATATGCAGTCCCAGAAAAACAAAGCTGCAAGTTATCTGTAAAGAGAAAATTAAGTATTTGTAGAAAAAAAATTCATTATTAAATTGTGACCAGAGATAAGACCAAGGTCATAATTTAAAAGCCTATTAAAAAAAAAGAAAGAAAGTTGCCTTCATCTGAAGGACATTGGTTGTGTTATTCTAAAACTCTGATTTAGAAAGCAGAGAACACGGGCAAGAAAAGCATCTGGCATTGGCATTTTCCCAATGGAACAGAAAGCAGGCAAATAACTTCCTTTGGCAAAAAATGTACATCACTTCTATTTAGCATGTGTTTTGAAACAATAAGGAAAAACCTGAAAATACAGGGATAATGATAAACCAAGCATTTTCTCTTGACAGAGAGCAGAAAATGGAGATTTTAACTGGATAATACCAAACAAATTCATTGCCTTCAGTGGACCTCATTCAAGAAGTAAAATTGAAAATGGTATGCCTAAAAAAGGAGGTGGGGGACACAAGCCCACTGCTTTCTTAGTTGATTGTTATCAGTAAGAGCAAGCTTTAAAAATTGTTCCTCAAACAGTGTGTTTTTTCCTTGGCTCTTTTTTCTTTTATAAGAACCCTGGCAGTAAGATTTTAATGCTTGGTTTAATTGTATCTGACCTAGGTGGTTATGTTAAAATTCCATTTTCGGTTAGTCTATTTGTTTATGTTGAACATGAGTTCTATTTTGAAAGTGTTCTCTTGTCTTGTTTTTCATTCTTTGTGTAGTCCTGCAGGTTGAGCCTTACTCTATTCTTGGTTTTCTTCCTTCTTTTTTCAAATAGGCTATCCCCACCATGCTCCAGAGGCTTATTTCCCATACTTCAGGAAACATAGGGTCACCACCATAATACGCCTCAACAGAAAACTCTATGACGCCAAACGATTTGCAGATGCTGGATTTGAACATTTTGACCTCTTCTTTGCTGATGGAAGCACACCTAGTGATACTATAGTTAAAACATTTCTAAATATTTGTGAAAATGCTGAAGGTGTTATAGCCGTTCATTGCAAAGGTATAGTGTAAAACCAGTTTATATTACAAGTGATGCTTATAGTTCCTGAGGTATTCTGCATTATAATTCCATTATGTCTAGTTATTAGTATCTCTGCCAAACAGCAGCTTTTCCATACAGATTCTTTCTGTGCTTCTATTCTGTA